TCCACTAGCTTTCAATCCAAAAGTAAGTTAGTTGTACCCAACAGTAGGTAAATATGATTATACTCAACGTTGGGTTCCCACACTTAACTTCCCCTTGTTGGGTGGTTTTGCTCCTCCGTTTTTGACAACATTAGAATGGTCCTATCTGCTCTGAACGATTCTCTTCATCGACTTTTTCTTTTGATAACTACTGCTATGCAACGTGCGCTATTTTTACCTCATAGTTTGTTAAAGGAGGTTCTTATATAGCGTCCAAAACATTAAATACAACAGGGAAAGGTTGTACAGCTGAGCTATTAACAAAAGAGAAAGTCGACAAAGAGAACCGATCAATGCAGATAGGACGTTTTGAAATGTTTATCTAGAAATAGTGATCATTGATACCTGTGATTTAAAAAGTTTGTTTATGACATTAAATTCTGAATGATGATATTACTACTTACATATATCAGTGATGAATACTTTACATTTAAGATCTGGAATATGTAGCGCGAAGTCCGTGAGTGGTCAAAACAAACGTGTTTGCTCTTAGTTCTTTTAATTATTCGAAAATCTATTGGCGTTGACGGCGACTCTGTAGCTCTTTACTCCTTCGAGAAAATCCATAAGCAAACGTCAGACTGTGCGTGAAACATGGCGGACTTTGTACTATCCTTTCACTCCACCGAAAATTCCCATAAGAAACTGTTTATATTTGCTGAAAGAGCAAATTTTTCGACGGTGCCGTCAACGCCAATAATCTTAACTCCTTCTGTATGTGAATTGGTGGCCCTGAAAAGGCAAATCCACTCGCCCGGACCTGGTATATAGATGGTATTGCTTCACGACGCCGATGAGGATGACGCTGTAACGCGCCACGCACTTAACGATGATGGCCCACAGTGGTGCACCTTATGACACATCTGTGGCCGATCAGAAGTAATGAAACGTTTTTACTACAAGCTGGAGCGTTCCTGGTTGCAAGTATATGGCAGCATTCACACCAGACCAATACGTGCTCCGGCCAGCATTGAATTGGATTGTTGTGAAAGAACAACTAGTGCTACTTGGCTCTGTCACGCCACTGCAAGTCGATGCCAACCGGATGACGGCGGCCCTAGTCATGCTGCCTATTGCGTGAAACCTTTCCTCGAGGGGGACGACTCTATCTACGATGCATGACAGATTGTGGTTTGCTGTGGCTAGCTGCACGTACGCTGAGCAGATAGAAAGAGGATTGTTGACGATTCTGAAGCTTTCCTGCAAAAAGATGATGCGCGATGTAAGTAAATGCGAGAAATGAAATAAGATTTTTTGAAGATTGATTCGCTAGTGTGAGATTCTTCGATCATCTAGAATTGAGATTTAGATGTGTCGCCCCCCTTGCCTTTCCTTCGGTCGATGTGGGTGCATTCATCTTCGTATTGGTGCGATGCGTGCTGTTCCGCTCATACGTTGTATCCGACACTTATTCGTCCGTTGCTCGAAAGAAAATGACGAAGAAAACTATTTATTTTTTTTTTTCCTTTTGGTTTGTTTTTTTCGTCGATCTTGTTTTTCGTGCTGAGCACCAATGCTACCGACGTGCCAGGAAGGCAGCTCCCACACCTGGACCCTACCTATCGATCCATCAACTCATGAACCGGGGATCAACGGCTTTACTTCCCATCCGAAGGAAGGCGTGATCAGAGATGTTATGCCTCAGAACATCCCGGCGGCGCCGACTGGGATTGAACCCAGGCCTGCTGGGGTGAGAGGTAATCACGCTTACCACTACACCACCGGCGCCGTTAGAAAACTATTTAACACACGTTTTTATTACCGCTGCTTTTCTCCTCCCATCCTTTGATTGGTGAAATGGTGAGCGGTCAACCGAGCATTGAGCTCGCTCATGTGAGCATGCACAATGTGTGTCGTATATTAGATTTGCACTCTATTGTTACGCCCGTGTTTGGGATTTTTCGTTACATGCCTGAATTTTAATTTTTTAATGTGACCCCCAGTATAGAAATTAAAGACGTAGGCCTACGTCAAAAACCGAGAGCGAAATAAAATACGGCTTGACGCGCGCGGAAGGCATCTTGCATTTTCAACTCTGACTGATGGCTACGGCTATGCTCGTTTGTTTACATTTTGGGCATTTAGAGTTCAGAGTTTAGAGTATTTACTCATGTCACACAATTTTCAATGCTGGGATAGGTAAATATATTGAATGGTCGTAACTTTAATGGGAGAACAATAGAATAATGCGGTTTATGCCATGCACCATTTATGTGCATAATAAACGATATGAATTTCAATTAGAAAACCGTTTGCATGAGTACTTGTTTCCACAAGTTTCCTGTTTGAGTTACATGGAATATTCATATTTTTTTGCTGTGTGCGATTCAGCATACTTGTCTTGTCCTCCTCATTCATTTGTTTCTCTGAGCCGCCTCATAGTTCGATTGTCATTTCTATTTCACCACCCAAATGCTTTATCTATCTGACTGTGTATCGCAATGACGCTATGTAATCTTCCAGATTGTTCTCAATATGGTCGACTATTCTATGTCGTAGTTCCTTTATTCTGCTATGATGTTCTTGCGATCCAATTTCCGTTCGGTATAATTGATACACGATAGTACAGAAGAGACAATGTCCATCTCCTGGCATCTTCTTTACGAGCACCGTTTCACTGTTGTAATACATATGTTCCATTGTTTACTGGAACTTTGTTTTATCACCGATAACACTGTACTTATTATAAAGCTCGATTCAAAGTAAATCTGGACGCACGGTTTAATACACCACCGCGCCCCTGGTGGTGGTTGGAACTGAAAAGCCTAAGCGACATGTCAAAATTGGAACAATCGATTGTCTGTCAAAGTCATAGGAAAAGTCATTCCAATCGAGCAGAAGACCTGTCAAATGGATAAGATGTCGTCTCTTTATAAATTCAGGCTCTTTAGTTGGAACAAAAAACGTTTGCTAGGCATTTGTTGATGTTTCATTGACGAAAAAATTGGTGAAAAGTTTTTCTCGATTGATCGACGCATCCCGAAATAACGGAGCATGGAACTTGAGAAAAGAAAATTAATTGTACACAAACATCTAGAGAGCCCTTCGTGGTCTACCTAAAAAATAGCCAAAAGTGTTAAAATTCCCCAAAGTCAACGGTGAGTCTTGTAATTAAACGTTACAAGGATACTCTGAGTGTGGATAGAGCACAGCGCATCAATCATAAAAGTGGCACTAGGGACAAAGAGCTGAAGAGAAAGGTGTTGAGGTACGTCAAAAGCAACCCAGGTGTCTCCATACGTGATTTGGCAAAGAAATACGATTCCAACTTTTCCACCGTGCGTAACATCCTTTCAAGAGAAGAATATAAGACTTTTTGTGCCAGTAAACATCCGAATCGCTCCCTGAAACAAAATTTAGTGGCCAAAAAGAGAGCACGATTACTATACGAACGAGTTTTGACGAAATTTGATGGCTGTATTTTAATGGATGACGAAACATATGTCAAAATGGATTATAAATAAATCCTCGGACGAAAATTTTACTTCTAAACTGGTCGTGGGGATGTCCCTTCCAGGTATAAATTTGTTTTTGCTGATAAATTTGCTCGATTTAAAGTGGAATAAGTTTGCCGGTACAGTGTCACCAGCGACTGTGCAGATCATGATGGCATCGATCACAAGTAAAGTGCGACAGTTCGTTCGAAATGGTGAAATGTAATAACTTGTTATATATCGTTTGAAAGCTGAATAAATACCCTTTTGTTTGACGTTTTGATCAACCGTGTATGTTGTTAAATTCTTGAGTTATGATCACTTGAATGCGTCAAAATTTACTTTGAATTGGGCTTTAATATTGATCTGCTGTATACTGCATTGAACCCAAGTGGATTGATCGTCAGTCTTAATATGCATCATTTTGTTATGATAAAATAGTAATATGATTATATATACTAATAAATGAATTATTGACCATTACCTTTTATGATCCTTGATTCCACTATGATTTTAACTTACCACTTATTGATTATTTATCAAATACCGCTTCGTGTATATAACGCCCAGATGCCTTGTTGGTTTCTAGCGCAGTTTCTGGTCTCTTATATATTATACGGAACGATAACCCAAATGACAGAGCTACTCCACAAATTGTCTGGATGACACCCGAACACCTCGCACAGCAAAACAACCATATAAATTGTATTAGCGTTGTCAAGTTTCTTAGAGAACAATACTGTTTTACAACTCAACGCAATGTTTCAATAAAGGCGTACTACTTGTACTTCAATATATTGTTCAGTTAGTATGTTTATTGCTTGAGAATCTCCTTCTAACAACAGAATAATACAACCGGTTAAAACAGGGCATCCAACAGGAGGATGCCCCAATGAGTGGGGAGAAGAAACAAACCCTCTTTTCACGAAATGTTAAAGACAGGGAGTTGGAATTTCCACTCTCCCTATCTATTTCGCTTCAATCGGGTGCCCTGGTGGACTTCCCCGTACCCAGCATTTAATGTTTCGTATTATAATGGAATGAAAGTTAAAAGAAAAATAAAGGAAAGATCTAACCCGATACGTTGCAAAGGAATCCATTACATCACGATGATTCCAACGAGCTCCCATAGATATGCTGCCGCTACTTCTTCAACCGGTGTTAAAAACAGCAGCGTAAACCCCCATGAACCGAAAAACACTCTAGCTGCTCCAACTAATCTCAGCAGAGAGAAAAAGGACTTCATCCACTTTCCATCACCAATCACTCGCGACACAACGGCTTCAGTTCGCCTGTGCACAGTCTGTAAGATGCAGCGCTAGCTCCTTACCGGCCGAATCAACAACTAATTAATAAGAAAAAATCTGGATGAATCATGAAAAGTCTGGTCTAGACAAGAGATTGTCTGGATGTCTGGATGGTCCACAAAAATCTGGAAGGTACCAGATAAGTCCAGGTAACAGTGAAGTAAGTTGAAACACATATGAAGGATTTTTCGGACAAACATTTCACAATTTTTAACGAGTGTTCATTTTGCTAAATAAATAATGTGAATCCCCTTTATTGATTAAAAATGGTTTCGCTTGCTGCAAACTCGCCGCGCGGCATCGACATAAATATAACTGCTAATAATTACTGCCCGATTTACATTCAGCTACTAGCGCTCAACATTGGGTCTCTGAATACTCGTTTCACCATGCAAAAACCGCGCTTGGTCCTGCAACAGCACAATAAAACAACCAATAAGTTTCTTCAAAAATAAGAAGAAAGTCTTCACGGTTTCCTAATTTCCTTCACTTTTCACCTCTCTAGTCCTTATCTAAATATTAAGTACACAACTTTCAGCTGCTGATTTTGCTCTATTTTCCTAAGTACCTTCTATACAATGTCTTTTTTGGTAGTACAAAAACGTAATCTAATGGATAAAAACGATGCAACAAATTGAGATAAACAAATTAAATACGGATGCGCAAGAAAATGAGAAACGCTTAAATTTTAGCTCAACTAACGCTTCTTCATTCTTCAATATGCTATGCTAGGATGTGTTTTTGCCTAAAGCATAAATCATTACAACTTTCTTCCGATGTAGATGATCAGGGGGTTTCAAATATCTCTCTTTAAACGATTCGTGGGTGTGATGTCCGTGGAAGGGCGGGACACTGGAGCTATTTACATGATAACATCTCCCACAGCGACGGCTGCAGCTGCAGGTGGAGTCGGAACTGACTGATGGTGCTGCAGTGAATCGGTTTCCGGTTGCTTCCGGAGCACACGGCGTGGTTTACGCGTATTGGTACCACCTCCTGTGGTTTCACCGCTTCCGCCACCGTACAGCAACAATCATTTCTTGGTAAAATTGTTACTCGATATCACGTTGTTGAGGAAGGAGTGTGCGAAAGGTTTCACGCCGGCTCCCGGAGTGCTGCTGCCAGCGGTCGAGTTAGGTGTGATGAAAGACAGTTCCGGCAGCTGAGAAATGCCTGGAATGTAGTTCGGCTGTCCGATGTTCCGAGTTTGACTGGAGGGCACCGTTGATTGTGGTGTTTGGTAGAAGTTGTTTAGGTTCGGATGGTGATGAGCAGGTGCATGAGCAGAGGGAAATGTTGGCACTTTTTGGTTTTGAGCAGCTGAGGGCGTGGAGAATCTGCTGTTGGTATTGGTTGGTGGTGTGTAGTAGTAGTTATTACTGTTCCATGAGCTGAACTGTGGAGGTGGAAGTTGCGGCTGGTTCCAGGAGTTGAATTTTGGCCCGTTTAACCTGCTTGCACCGAAGGAATTGTTCTGGTAGTTGAAATTGTTTTGACTAGAAGACAGGTTCTGCGACGCAGGAGTACTGTAGATGAAATCAGTCCACTCTTCCTGTTGATTATTGGCATGGGTGGGATTGGAGCTTTTGGAATTGGTCGGAGGAGGCTTTTCGGTAGCTGGTTTGGAGTACACAAAGTCGGTCCATTCGTCATCGTCTGCGGCCGTTGCTGAGGCTGGTGCAGGGACATGCTTTGGAGTCGTATTGTTGGAAGAAATCGATTGAGGAGCGGCTTTCGGTTTTGGGAAAGCAGCCTCAAATCTTGCAAGTTCGTCCGGATCTATTCCGGGTTCCGGCCAGTTTATCTGGGTCAACCTGCCCGTTTCGGTTGCTTGTAGCGGTTGCGCTTGCTGAGGCAAAAGAATCGAAGGACTTAGCAGTATCGGAGAACTGGTATTCGATCGATTTTGCTCATTGGACACGGTTGCTAATGGTTTATTTACAATTGGTTTAGCGGGCTCTGGCACGGGAACTGCAGCTTGGAATTCGCTGAAATCGTCATCCATCTGATCTAGCTCTTCCGTCGGTGATGTACCGAAAACCGGCTTCAAATAACTACCAACCTTATCTTTCATATTCCCGAAATTGAAATCTCCTCCCACATCTAGGTGTGTCCGTTTCGAACCGGACCATTCCTTATCCTCCTTTTTGCCCGCACTTTCCACAGCCTGAAATTCACGGAAATCGTCGAATTCTTCGTCACCACCGGCCAACGCCTGATTTTTCGACAAAGTCTTCTCCAAGCTGTACTCCACATCACGATATTCCCGCACTACGATACTCTTATCGAACCCACCACTAGGCCGTAAATCTCCCCCAACTTCGGCATACATTTCCGTCCGATTGGTCGAGTCCCGGGACACCGGATTCACCCCTTTACTCGGAGTGTAGATATGTGTTTCCGGCAGCTTAATCGTCCGCACCACACCACCACTGGACACCGCCGTGGACGTCGTCGCCAAGGGAGAAGAACAAGCAGACGGCGATGATGATGATGACGATGATGATGAAGAAAGTCCTAACGCTAACGACACTGCAGCAGGTGGTGGCATAACAGCGTGAGATACAGGGGGACAGGTGGTTGTAGGAATTGACGTTGGTTGCTGATGCTGATTGCTGTTACTACTGTTGCTACTACCGACAAACTCAAACCCGTCCTCGTCTTCGTTGCCACTGGGAGCGTCATCGAACGAGGAATGATGCGCTTTCGTCGTCGTCGATTTGGCAATGGTTTCCTCCGGAGCAAACGGACTAGGTTCTAGGATCGATTGCGTCTTGCTAGCCACTACTTCATCTGCAGCAGCCGTGCCTGAGTTTTCTGCGATTTTCGTATCCAAAACTTCGCCCTTTGGCCCATTCTTGTTGGACTGGAGTGCACCACCTTCCTGGAGGATCTCTTGTACACCTAAGGTCCGAACGAAGTTCAGTTTACGGAGGCGCACAAGATGATAGGAGAAGAAATTTCAGTATCAGTTTCTCAAAAGTATGATCGGCATGAACACCTAAAAGCTAGTTAACTTAATTGTGCAGTATTAATAGGTAGTGGAAGCGTTTTAGCGATAAGCCTTACGTGGTGCAAACATGGCATGCATCATTTAACTAAACTACGAATGAAAATGTCGATGATTGAGTTGAGTTAATTATGGTGGTTAGAGGAGAATTTATCAAAATGTACATGTCCTGAGCCCAAGGCCTAAAGAGGTCCCAAGTTGAAAGATGATGTTCCTAGTAATTTCACAAAAATTGTAAGACTAAAGATGATGGTGTTTGTTTTTCCTTTCTTTGGGACATAAATCCACTGCGACTGTTATTTGATGTATTGTGATATCACAGACAAACAGACGTAACTCTCCATTCTGGATCATCGTTCACGTATTTAACGATTGATTTGAATATTATCATGTGCGCAAACTGCTCACCGAAGCGCTGGCGTCGGATCACTTTGACGTTTCTATATGTTCTGTTTACCTTGCATGCAACATTGTTAGCGACTCTGCGAGCAAGCTTTTTTTTCCGCAATAAGCTCGAGAGATGTCGTTACTGATGTCCTATTTTTATAGGTTCAATGTTTTCAAGAAAAAGTTATTCAAAGAGTAACGTATGTTTGTCTGTGCTTGTCTGTTAAAAATAAATGTAAACACCTTGAAGGTTACTTTTTGACATACTTTGAAATAATATATTTAAATTCGATGGTTAAGGAGATATGCAACAAGACATTGGCTTTTTTTTTTTTTTCCTTTGATTTGTTTTCCGTCGATCTTGTTTTCCGTGCTGAGCACCAATGCTACCGACGCCAGGGAGACAGCTCCCACACCTGGACCCTACCTATCGACTCATCAACTTATGAACCGGGGACCAACGGCTTTACTTCCATTCCGAAGGAAGGCGTGATCAGAGATGTTTTGTCTCAGAACCAGGGCTTCTGTCTGTCCTTTTTTTCATGAGCAGTCAACATAACCATTCATTCAATTTCATGTAGTCTTTTGTGTGCGGTACTTCGTATACCATCCGTTGCTCCACGCTGCTTTTCGCATTCATACTTCCAAATGCACAGCTTAACGAATAGGTAGAAAAATCAGTTTTTGCTCCCTCTCGTAAACAATCCTCTCTCGTTTAGTCACTCTGCTTCGGTTTGGATTTTTTCACATTTTCATTTCGGTCAAGATCCCTTTGTCGTCTGCTGCAGTGAATGACTGCAAAAAAAGTCAGTTCTACGGCAGTCACCTCTAGCGCAGGTAGTGTTTGCAAACTTCCTTTGGGTTTGTTTTTTTTTTCGTCGATCTTGTTTTCCGTGCTGAGCACCAATGCTACCGACGTGCAGCTCCCACACCTGGACCCTACCTATCGACCCATCAACTCATGAACCGGAGACCAACGGCTTTACTTCCCATCCGAAGGAAGGCGTGATCAGAGATGTTATGCCTCAGAACATCCCGGCGGCGCCGACTGGGATTGATCCCAGGCCTGCTGGGGTGTTTGCAAACTTAGCAGTGTTGTTTTTAATAAGAAACTGGTTGAAATTGAAAAGAAAAATCGCAGGCAAGAGGAAGTTTCGTGATTTGGCGAAGGATTTCGTTGTGCAAAATTACGTGGGTGTGTGGTGTAGGTTGAGTGGTGATGAAAGTTGTAAATATTTCCAGAAGAATTTCGATGCGGGAAATTTTGTGCGTAATTTTCGCAGTACACATTTCGCGTTGGCCAAGGAAAGGGTTTTTTTTAAGGAGGGTGAGGAAGTGGAAGCAAAATCGAAGAAAATGGAAAAAACGTCCGTGGCTATTAATGAACAAATCATTGTCGATTCATTGAGGAATATGCCTTTGTCTTCGATTGACTGGCCCGAAATGCGTGCGATTCTTGACACGCTAGCTAGTGCGTTAGGTACCAGTTTTTCATCGGGGAAAACCAAGAAATACATTAACATCGATGCTGAGAAAATTCAGAAAAACATTCCACATGAGATGAGAGGAAAGTTAATTTCACTGAAGATCGACTCTGCATCGCGATTAACGTGCAATTTGAGAATGAAGACCAAATCGTCATAAGAACCCTTGGTAAGATATATATTTTTGTTCAACCGTAGTGCCTCAACAAATTGAATGGTGTTGTGCTAGTGGTCACCACTATTTCATCGCTGTTTTTCAATTGATTGAAGGAAAGCGCAGAAAAAGCGGTGAGCAGATAGTATCACCCTTAATTTATTCATCATTTCAATCTAAGGTGCGGTTCCATTGCAGCATACCTCACTTCACTTCGGCAAACCCCCAAAAATCAGTCTTCCGACAGCGCCATACATACAGCTTTTTTAATTAAATTTCTGGGCAAATCATTTCTTACCTTTACATATTTTGGATATCACTGTTTGTCTTCATTATTTTTTAAGCGTATAACGGAAACTTTTCCAATATTCCGAAGTAGTGTTTTACCATACAACCTTGTTTCTAAGAGCATTCGTTCTCAAGCTATGTACTCTTATAGCAACTGATGTTCTGAAAACCTCGAAAAGTTGAACTGAAATTCGCTGAGATAAACTCTATTTTTTTCCTTCCATCTAATATAAACTCTAACCAAGGGCAACATTTTATTAAATTTTGATACTCTGATACCCTTTAGCCCACTCGCAAATAAAATAAACGTAACATTTCCCTAACCACCCTTCATTAGGACAAACCTGTAAGATAATGAAGAAATGACCCCAGTTCGAATGCTTTACCGTTTTTTCCCTCAAATTCGATACATTTTTTACGCTAGAGATTTCTAGGTTGCTAATACAACAGGCTGAAAATTTTCATAAATTATATTTAGCAAATCCATGACTAACCTCTATACAAGGGTGCTTAAAAATATAGATTATGCTCAATCGATTATAATTTCTGACTATTTTCCAGAAATTTGAACCCATTTGGTTGCAATCTCATATTTACTGCTCTTTGATTTTTATAAGGAAATTATTACGAGAAAATTTGAGAAAGTTATATAAAAAAGTCGAGGGGGGCGACATATCTAAATCTTAAGTTCAGATACTCAACAAATCTCACACTAGCTAATCAATCTTCGAAAAATTTCTTTCATTTGTCACATCTACTTGCATCGCACATCATCTTTTTGCAGGAAATCTTCAGAATTGTCATCAATCTTCTTTCTATCTACTCAGCGTGCACGTAGCTAGCTACAGCAAAACACAATATTTTCTGCATCGTAGATAGAGTCGTCCCCCTCGCAAAAAGTAGTCACCAAATTTTACATAAGCAAAGATAGTAGGCATACCCGTATATCATTTTTGGAAAAAGGCTAAAACGAAGAAAATAAAACAAAATCTTTTTTTTTCCCTTGTAATTGCCATATAAACCTCGAAGGGCTATTGTAGTATGAAATTACAAACAAATTACAACTCAAACGCAAAAGAATAATCTGGACGGACCTGCTTTGGTGGAGGTGGAGCAAAATCTGTAAAATCATTGCAGGGGTTTCTTTCCAAACTCTTCTATGGCCACTAGAGGCCCTACGGGAACCAACTCCGGGACAATCCATCGGATGATCACAAAATTATGATAAACAGTCTCCTGCTGTAAAATTAAATTCCTGCTATAAATTCATGAATTTAGATACCCATATTGCAGGGGTTTCTTCTCAAACACTTTTATGGCCACTAGAGGTCATACGGGAATCTACTCCGGAATGGCCATCCCGGAGACAATCCATCGGATGATCACAAAATTATGATAAACAGTCTCCTGCTGTAAATTTATGAATTTTGATACCCATATTGTAGGGGTTTCTTCCAAAACACTTCTATGGCCACTAGAGGCCCTACGGGAACCTGCGCCGGAATGGCCGTTCCGGGGAGAAACCTTAAACTGGTCCTCAAGTAAGCTGAAATTGTTTCTTGAAGGAGATTCTACTTTGATATCGATTCCTTCGAAAATCTAGCGAAAGGCAAGAAAATGCTTAGTTCTGGAACATTATACAAGAAATCCGGATTTATGGGAACCAGACTAGCTTGGTAGGTAGAAAGAAGTCGATGTCATTTTTGTACGTAAAAAGTATTAACCAGAGACTTCAAATATTAAAAATTAGATCGATTGGTTTGAAAACAGCCGAGTTATAGCGGTGAATATAACATATGTATTTCCTACCGCGTTAATCGGGAGACTCGTACAGCATAGCTCACCATTGGAAAAGAGAAATGAAAACAAAATACGCAGCGTACTCCCGGTCATTCTGCAGCTTCAACTTTCCATATGCACGATAAGCGGGAGAATGAATGAATTGAAAAATCGGCTTCCACCGAGCTGCTGCGGCAAACACCACACAAGCAATTAACAAAAGGCAGAACGACTGCGCCATTTTGCCAGTCAAACCGACGTGCTTGCTTCGCACATTGAATGCAGAAAACGTACGCGATTCGGCGAAGTTGTTCAGTGGATCAAGACCTTATCGTTGGTGGACAGAAGTTCGGAATAATCTCACTACGCGGCGCTAGTGTGCATGCATTAATGATGCCCTTGTTTGTGTGATATCTTGAAATCCTTGCCATCTAGGAAGTTGCTTTCTTTGGCGAAGTTGTTCAGTGAATCAAGACCAATATATGCATGGAATATGGATATTTTCGGAATCGCGATGACGTCTAAAACCCGTAAATCGATTTCTGACGCCATTTTGAAATCCAAGAGGCGGCTTCCAATTTCAGAAAAAGTGGGAAATACTGCCAAATGCCCTTCAATATGCATATTTTCGCAATCGGGATGAAGTCTAGAGACCGAAAATCGATGTCCAGCGCCATCTTGAAATCAAAGATGGCGGCTGCTGAGTTAAAAAAAAATGGGAAATACTACCAAATACCCTTCAATATGTATATTTCCGGAATCGGGATGATGTCTAGAGACCGAAAATCGATATCCAGCACCATCATCATCATTTCAGGACCACCTAAATCACCTTAGCAACTAACAGTTCGATTTATTCACTTTAATAATGAGAAAGCGAAACGACGAACGTACACTTTTCACGGGTTTATCTGCGCTGTTACTTAAGACAAACGACATCTCCATAGAAATCGGGTGACTTAAGTAACATTGAAACATATTTTGATCGGAAGGTGATTATGTCAAAAAGCAATTTCACAGGTAAATAAATTTAAAAATGGGATGTGATCCTATATTCGGACAGTATATAGTACAATAGCAGGAGCATCGATTGACACTGATAGCTCGACTTTGTTTACCTTTGTTACTTTCGACGTAATGAAAAAAAAATGCTCTTGAATTCTCCCGCCGTATTATATGCAAAAATTACGGCGACCATTTGCTCTTTTCTGGGCTTTGGGCTACAAAATGGTGAGTTGACAACCTGAAAGGAGCGGAATACCTAGCTCTGGTCCTCACAAGTTCCTACTTCACGCCTCCCCGAGTCATATGATAACAAAAGACTACCAGCTAAAACATGGACACAGCTGGGTGGCGTAGCCTGGGCAATGTTGCCAGTCCGGCAATAGCAAAGTGAAGAGGTGCGACGCGAACACTGGCGCGGTAGCCATAGTACGGTGATAGAGGAAATGCTTCACCAAACCCGAGCGTCTGTTCACCATGGAGGTGCGGTTCAAAACGGCGTCTGTTCTCCATGTTAGGAGCGGCTGATCACAGAGTTGTGCACGATGGTCCCCCGGCGAGACAGGGGGTTGGGGCAGGCCCAACAAGCCGCCCTGGAAAAAAAAACATTAAGTTGCAAATACTGAAGAAAGAAATACGGATCGGAACGATCGCCACAAACCTACGCGACGAAATAAAGACTACGATTGGAAACTCGGAACATGGAACTGCAAATCGCTCGGCTTCCCTGGTTGCGATAGGTTAATCTATGACGAACTTCAACCACGCAACTTCGAAGTCGTAGCACTGCAGGAACTTTGCTGGACGGGACAAAAGGTATGGAAAAGCGGGCATCGAGCGGCTACTTTCTACCAGAGCTGTGGCACCACCAATGAGCTGGGAACCGGCTTTGTAGTGCTGGGTAAGATGCGCCAATCACAATCAACGCGAGGATGTGCAAGTTGAGGATTAAGGGCCGTTTCTTCAACTACAGCATCCTCAACGTGCACTGCCCACACGAAGGAAGACCCGACGACTAGAAAGAAGCGTTCTATGCACAGCTGGAGCAGGTGTACGAAGGCTGTTCGCAACGGGACGTCAAAATCGTCATCGGCGACATGAACGCTCAGGTAGGACGGGAGGCAATGTATAGACCGGCAATCGGGCCAAACAGCCTGCATGCCGTATCGAACGACAACGGCCAACGATGCATGAACTTTGCAGCCTCTCGGGGTATGGTAGTTCGAAGTACCTTTTCCCCCGCAAGGATATCCACAAAGCCACCTGGAGATCACTTGGAAGTTGCACTACCCACGGAAGAGCAGCTTGGCGCAGCTACTCTTGAAGATGGCTGGAGGAACATCCGTTCCGCCATAGGTAGTATCAACAATCAATTTGAAACTAACGATTTTAAATTGGCTACTTGACTAGCCTATTGGACTCAAGCAAATCGATTAACGTATCCCATTCTAGTATAAATTCCAGTACTACACTATGTTTGTTTTGTTTCGCTATGAAAGGGTTGATAGGGGTTCGTGGATTTTCCAATGTTTCGAGGGGTGTATCGATTAGCTTGGGACCGAAGATAGTACCAGAGCTGAGCCAAAAAGTTGAGTTCGGGACCTTCTAGTCTTTGAGGTACCTCTATTGTAGTACTGCTGCAGCGGCACTAGGTACTGCGATCCCTGACCGAAGAAATGACTGGTTTGACGGCGAATGCAAAATGTTGGAAGAGGAGAAGAATGCAGTATGGGCGAGAATGCTGTAACACCGCACGATATTGAATGTGGAGCGATACAGACAAGCGCGGAACAGACAAAACTCGGTTTTCCGAAGGAAGAAGCGTCTGTACCGCGTAAACGACACATGGAAGTTCTACGAGAAGCTAAATAGTTCGCTCAAAGGCTAGGTGCCGCAAGCTGATATGTGCAAGAAGTTGGACGGTAACCATCTCACGAACGAGTGTGAGGTGATTGAGAGGTGGAAGCAGTACTATGACGAGCACCTCAACGGTGAAGCAGCAGAAAACGAAGGTGGCACGGCAACAGACCTTGGAGCACGCGCAGAAGACGACAGGCTACCGGCCCCTGATCTTCAAGAAGTTGAGGAGGAGATCGGTCGGCTGAAGAACAACAAAGCAACTGGTGTAGATCAACTACCAAGTGAGCTATTTAAATACGGTGGTGAAGCACTGGCTAGAGCGCTGCACTGGGTAATCGCCAAGATTTGGGAGGAGGAGATATTACCGGAGGAGTGGATGGAAGGTGTCGTATGCCCAATCTACAAAAAGGGCGACAAGTTGGATTGCTGCAACTACCGCGCGATCACACTGCTGAGCGCCGCCTACAAGGTACTCTCCCATTTGTACCATTTGCAAGAGAGTTCGTGGGGCAATACCAGGTGGAATTCATAGGTGCCCGCGCTACCACGGACCAAATTTTCGCGATTCGGCAGGTTCTGCAGAAATACCGGCAATACAGTGTGCCCACACATCATTTGTTCATCGATTTCAAATCCGCATACGACACAATCGATCGAGATCAGCTATGGCAGATTATGCACGAGTACGGATTTTCGGACAAACTGACGCGATTGGTTAAGGCGACGATGAATCGAGTGATGTGCGTTGTTTGAGTATCGGGACACTCTCGAGTCCCTTTGAATATCGAAGGGGGTTACGGCAAGGTGATGGACTTTCGTGTCTGCTATTCAACATCGCGTTAGAAGGTGTGTTCAAAAGAGCAGGGATAGACACGAGTGGCACGATCTTCAGGAATTCCATCCAGCTTCTTGGCTTTGCCGATGACATCGACATCATGGCCCGGAACTTTGAGACGATGGCGGAAACGTACATCAGACTGAAGGCTGAAGCTAGGCGAATTGGACTTGCCATCAACGCACCAAAATTCTGTATGAAAGGAAGAGGTTCTAGGGAAGACAATGTTAGCCTCCCACCCCGAGTTCAGATTGACGGTGACGAAATCGAGGTGGTCGATGAGTTCGTGTATTTGGGCTCACTGGTGACCGCTGAAAACGATACCAGCAGAGAAATTCAAAGACGCATTATGGCAAGGAATCGTGCCTACTTTGGACTCCGGAGGACGCTCCGGTCGAATAAAATTCGCCGCCGCACGAAGTTGACTGTCTACAAGACGCTGATTAGACCGGTGGTCCTCTACGGCCATGAGACCTGCTATGCTCGTGGAGGACCAACGCGCCTTTGATGTTTTCGAACGGAAGGTGTTGCGTACCATCTAAGGGGGAGTGCTGGGAGAACCATCCATCGCCCACATTGCAAAAATTGGACGACTATGGTGGGCTGGGCACGTCGTAAGAATGCCGCACGACGATCTAGTGAAAATGGTTCTAGAAAGCGACCCAACAGGAACAAGAAGAAGAGGCGCGCAGCGGGCAAGGTGGATCGACCAAGTAGAAGGCGACCTGCGGACCCTTCGCAGACTACGGGGCTGGCGAAGTGTGGCCATGGATCGAGTAGAGTGGAGACGACTTCTTCGGACAGCAGAGGACAACAAGGCCTTAGCCTGATTGGTAAGGTAAGGTATGGGCTCTTTTCTGTGGCGCGGACTACCAGCGCGCGTTCCAATGGAGCTTCTGGCGGATTGAAATTACTACCAATCCCTTCTGAACTTAGCAATTCCTCCCCTGCAGATCTTGCCTGCCACAAATTGATTTTCCCAGAGACAATGTTTAATAAGAGACCGGAGAGAATAAAAGTAAATCTAGTTGCACGGCCAACTAAGTTATTTTGTCTGCAAGGCTTGGCAACCCGCGATTTTGTGTTAACTTCGAGTGAGTTTTAATTTAAGCGGCTTTCGTCTTCTTCGGCGGGTGAAACGAATACTATTTTCACCGAATACTTTTGCAATGTTTTTTTTTCTTGATTTGTTTTCCGTTGGTCTTGTTTTCTGTACTGAAGCAGCTCCCACACCTGGACCCATATAGACCCATCAACTCTTTACTTCCCTTCCGAAGAAATGTGTGATCAGAGATGTTATGCCTTAGAAAATCCCGGCGGCACCGACTGGAATCGAACCCAGGTCTTTTTGAGTGAGAGACAATCACGCTTACTACTACACCACAGGTGCCACTAATTTGCAATTATATTAATATTTGATACAACGGCATGAATTACGGCTGACATTATCACACTTTTTTACAGTATATACCGCTGATATAATGAACGCAGCAAATGCTTTCAATCAACTGACCCACCAACTGAAGGATTGCTGTAACAAGCTAAACATTTTGTTCTATTTCTATATGGGTAACGCTTTAATTAAGGCTATTGTTAGATGTGATCACAGGTCTTTTCTTTTTATAAATTGATAATAAGTTTTTTTTGAAGAAAATATTGAAAAACGTAAATTTGCCTTAATAATGATTAATTAGAAGAAACCTGAAAATCTAAAATAAGAATTCATATTAAAATTGTTTGAAGCTAACACCTAAACTGAAGAAATGCAACAGCATGCGATCCAAACCTTCAGAAGAACTAAAGAAAAACATGCAGTCATATGGAAGCAAATAAGCGCCATGCCGTTTTTTTTTTTTCACGAATATTACTACCAAGCAAATAACTCGATTATAGCCGGTGGAAGAAACTTACTAAGATCCAAATAATCATCAAACGATTGCAGAGTAGTAACAGAGGAAGTACCGACGGCGGCAGCCGCGTGGCCATCACCATTCATCGGGGTGCCGTTAGTAGCGCATGTTGTTGTTATTATTGTAGTTGTTGTTATTGTTGTGAGTAACGGTGTTGGTAGTGGTGGTGGTGGTGATGGCGATGATGGTGAATGTGGTCGTGAAAGGGATGCGGTACAACAGGTAGTAGTAGTAGTAGTAGTAGTAGCAGGAATGAAGGTGGTAGCAAAACAATAGGAAGGACAGTCGGATGAGGTGGTCGCGACGGTACCAACATTACAAGTGAAGGCATTGGCGAATGATATCGGTTTGAGTGGTAATGGCGGGTCGGCGGAGCAAAACAAGTTCAAATCATCCAACAGTGATCCAACGCCACCGCCAGCGGTTGGGTTATTAGCATTGCATGTTTTGTTATTGTAGTTGTTGTTGTTGTTGTTGTTGTTGTTGTAAACCATTGTTGGTGTGATTGATGTTGTCGTTATTGTCGAAGGTAATGGCGTTGTCGATGATGGCGCAACGTTGGCGTCACATGAGGAGGAGGAGGAATCAATATTTATTTTATCTTTTAGATTAGCCATCACCTCTAGCTGTTCTAGGTCCAATAATAATGTGTGTGCGTGTGATGCTGGGATATGTTTACAGTAGTTTATACTCGTTTTATTAAAATTATCCAAACAGATTTTTCAAGATAGTTAAGTAGTGGTATGCAATAAGATGAAGAAAAACGATGAGTGAAAGATGATCGGTTAATAAACATACTCAATTCTTTGATTCAACTTGATTTTTTTTTCGTGGACATATCACAAACCCAACTAGCGAATAAAGCAAATAGCGTGAGTTGATAAATTTTTATACACAGGGAGATTTCTAAACAAACAGTGGGATATTTTTCTATTTGGTCATGGTCGGTTATTCTATTCTCTAGTGGGATTTGCAGCTAAGACGAATAAGTAAATTAAGAGTGTTTCATAATATGAAAATTATGTTGAAAACGGCAGAAGCACATTGTAGACACCGGTTGTGTAAATATTTTTAATTAATAGTTGCAACCTGACATAGCACTGTTCATTAAGTTAGTAAAATCGCTAGCTGTAATTAATGGACCTACGTCGTCGTAACCGCCCATTTCCGTTCTATCGATCAGAAAACATCAATAAGGGGTGATGCATATTGTTCCTGCTGGGTGCCCTGCCTCAGGTTGGCATTCCGCGGTGTCACCCCAGCTGAACTGTAATGACGGCTTTCAACTATTAGGTTCAGCGTGACGTCACAAATGAACTCAGTGTTAATCGGCTGAACCTTTTTGACAGTTCAGTGGTACTGTTTACAAGCACTTAGTCGTTTTTTCGAAAAAAAAAAATTCTAAAATTTCCGAATTTTAACTTGAAAATTATCGAGGAACAGCGCATTGCAAGGATGTTGCTCGTGAACATTGCAGAAATGTGGTTTACATCTCACTGCAGTCTGAAAAATTATCGAGAAAATCCACCCAAGAAAAAATCGGCTAAGTCCACGTAAACAGTACCACTAAACTGTCATCAGATTGAGGTTAACCCCGACGGTGCAAAACCTAATAGTCGCTATATTCAGTTTGGCGGATGGAATTTCGTGTTATCAAAAAGAGGAACCAATTCAATATATATTGTAGATCAACAATTGTAAAGGTTTTATCAAAGTTTATAAACAAAACGTTGATTATTTTTCCTCTGTTCGGGACCTAACACTTCTGCGACCAGTAAATTGATCTATTGTAGTTTATCCTGTGTCCTTAGTTTAGTGCATGTCGTATTACTCCATCACTATTGAGAAATGATGAAGTATTCGATTTTTTTTTACAGTTGCCACTCTTGCATTTATCGCAAGGATCCGACTCTAATTGAAAGGTCCCGCTATTTATACCCTTGGGAGTGTTGAAACACCCTCCAAATTGGATTCCTTAACAACAAAAACAAGCTATGACACCGATAATGACCATGCATCAGAACCCTAGTCTTAACCACTTCAGACTAGGGAACAACGATTAGAAGATTAGGAATCACATAGGTGAAGACTAACTAACTCATTTTTTCCTTGTTTCAAGATCATCCTCGGTCCAGGCAACCCAAGGACTTATCACTATCAACAAGGCATAAAAAGTAACAAGGACTAAGATGCGTTCCTTGGATTACTGAAAATCCTGTTCCCCTAGTTTGAAGTAGTCGATGGTGGTAGATCTTACATCCCGTAATGTACCACGAAAAGGTGATCTACCCTCGTTACGTTGATTATTCTTTCCTCGCTAATCGAACGCAAATTATCAGCATCATCGGATAGGGGAAACTTTCCCCAACCCAAAGATGGTATTAATTTGCGTAGGCGAGTCTTGAGTCACGAGAAACCCTAATAAAAATAATTATAAAAGAGAGCTTAAGGGGAAGCTCACCGCTCCGAAAAAAATAATTACGTTTTGATTTTTCTAAAAATATTGGAAAAAGATATCAAAATTTTAAGAAAATCACATATTTTTTTATTTTTCAAAGAAAATTCACGTGCAAAAACATTTTTTATAAGTCATTATGGCATAAAGTTGGACTCAAAAAACCACAAAACATCGACTTTTCGGTTTTGCTGAGAGTCCAATTTTTTTTCATGATGAGATAGAAAAAAAATTTACATGTAATTTTTGACAAAAATCTAAGGAACAAACTGATTTTCTTTGATTTTTGATATTTTTTTCCCAATATTTTTAAAGAAATAAAAATGTACCGAAAATATTTTTTTTTATTTTCGGGCCGGCAAGCTTCCCCTTAACGACGTGTTCGGGGTATCATCCAACACCATTTGTGGGATATTTTACCCATCCGGGATACATCGTTTATGGTATTTGTTTACTGTAGTTCAAAAATTGATAATCAACTCGGAAAGAAATACTCCTAATGCCAATGCAGAAAACAGTGCTTTGCTTCCCCCCGCTTCGCACTTTCTAAAATTCCAGAGACATGTTGGCCCAAACGCATCGCAACTAACTACCGGGTCGGACGTGGATTCGTAGCAGTCAGTGAGACCAATACAACAGATGGATAAATTCGCCTTCGCTAGCTGGAATATGGGATGCTCGTATGAAGTCAAACGAAATGCAATGGATGATCACGCAATTATATGAAACAAGAAACTCGTCTAGCGCAATGCACAATCGAAACAAAAAAATATCTCTGGTTTAACATCAATACGGAAGAACGACCCCGCGACAGAATAGGTGGAGGCACGGCCATTCTGGTGGCGAAATGCATAAGCAAAGAGCATAGCTGTCGAAAGATAAGTAACAACTCTTGCTTGTACAGTTGCGAAATATTTGGAGAAAAAGTAATGCTCATATCAACATACGCTAGAGGAGGAATTCAGGCTGAAAACGAGGAGTTTGGCAAGTTAAGGGTTTAATTACTCACTCTCCGTGATATGACTCGAGAGATAATAATTGTAGCTGGAGACATGAACGCGAGAATTGGGAAAAGTGACCAGGCTGACAACGACAAATTGCTTATCGGGAATAACCTTCTACATGATTACAGCAACCAAAATGGCTCGGCGTTGAAAAATCTGATGCATGGGTTCGGACTGAAAAAATTATCTCACTTTCAGTCATTCACCGTCAGTTACGATCACTTGGACGCAGGGGTAGAAACAGTTGACGTTTTTTACTACACTCGCTTCGTTGTCGTGCGCGACAGTCTGTTTGTATTCGAACACTCATGCTCTACCGTCGTCTCTCTCACACAACACGAGCGGTAGAATAACATTCGAGCTAAAAGAAAATGATCAAAATAACTATCATAATATTATGACATGTGCGATTTCGTTGTAATTCCTCAATTTGGTGTAAATCAAACTATTTCTGATCAGAAATAGTATTACTAGGACATCATGACTTGCTATTTTCAGAATTCACACAAGCATACCATCAGCAGCTCTTATTATGAGAAAAACTAAAATTTATTACATAATTTATTTATTTAATTTATTTATTTATTTATTTATTTATTTGGTAGTGTACATACGACATTTTAGTTTGGTAGTGTACTATGATAGCTTGTTTTGCAAGTGTCGGAGGCAAGGGCAGTCAATTATCACAGAAAATGTGTCGACTACCGTGACCGCTTACAAGACTGCTTGGACGAATGGAAAAAGCGAGTCCCAGATAGATCACATTCTGATGACAAAAATGCCGTTCATGAAGATTCCTGATATCCGAGCATATTTTCACCCGGCGCTCATAAGTGATCATAAAATGATTTCATTTAAGGTAAAATACTCCCATCTCAGCCTGGGAGATCTCGTAGCCAGTCGGCAAACCCACCGAAAAAAATGAGGTTCGATATGGAAGGTTTAAGGAAAGATGAGGAGATACAGGAGAAGTTCCAGGATAAAATCAATCGACGAGTGCTGGCAGAGCGCTCCCCCGGTCAGATGATGGATGTAGAAGGCAGCTGGAACAAAATTGAATCGTCCATTATTGGAGCAGCTAAAGAGACGCTGAATAAAACGGGTTCACCCTCCACTCCTCGCAGGGTAGAAGCATCCAAGCGATACTTTATAGAGCAACAGAAACGTTTGGAGGACAGGAAAAACAGTATTTTGAACAAGGCAGCAAAACAAGCTAGAAAGGAAAAGCAGCTTCTAGAGAAGATGACAAATCTCATGAAGGAAGTTTTCAGAACCAATCAGGTTTCTAAAGCCTGGTTAGAAACTGTTCAAGTCCCCATTCCAAAGGTTTCATATCCGCAAAACACCGAAGACTATAGATGCACCACTCTTTGCTCAACGGCGTACAAAATGTATGCAAGATTGCTTCTGAAACGCTTGTCCGACCCAGTCGGTCCTCTACCCGGTTACCAAATGGCCTTGCAACAAAAAAGGAGTGCTACGGATCAAGTGTTTGTGCTTCGTCGAATATTGGATGAACGATGGAGAAAAGGGAAGCAAACCATCCTGGTTTCACTTGATTTGAAACAGGCATTTGACAGACTGGAAATGTCAAAAGCAGTCACCATTCTTGCCGAAATGGGTGTTTCAAAATCGTTAATCAACCGGATTATATCCGCATGCCTGCACGAGAAAACATCGCTCCAATGGTTTGGGCAGAGGACGGGTTCGTTCAAAAAAAAATGAGAGGGGTAAAGCAAGGATGTCCTCTGAGCCCACAGCTGTTCATCTTCATATTGCATCATGTCTTACAATCGGTCAACGAATTCATCCCGGAAATCAAATTGGCTTATGGATCGAGGATCGAATTACCGTGCATACGGATACGCGGATTATCTTATATTCATTTGCAAAGAGGTTGAGGATGTGGAAAGGCTCATCGATGTATTAGAGCCGCTATTGAATTCAATAGGACTGAAGATCAACACTAAGAAAACGAAGGTGTTGTAGTATAAAGGTGCGATGAGCAAACAAAATAAATAAATTATAATAATTGTGTTTTAATACAAAAATATTAACGAAGTATAGTAATAAGAATATTTGAAATTCCCTAATGAAATTGTATAAGGTGATCCAAGAGACGTTTCGCAGTGGAACTGACATTTAGAAATCAAGAGTGTGTGAGTGGTCTGGTGTTAATGGTGCTGAATGTAAACATAAACAAAGCAGAAATTCATATGAGAGTGAACTGTCAGTTCTACTGTGATCTGTCAAAAGTTCTTGGTAAACAAAAAAGTCAGCTGATCGGAACTGTCTCGTGGACAGCCTTATTCCCCTTTGCAATCTCTGATTGGTTGAAGTGTAAAAGCCTTTAGTTATTTAAAGAGGGTGTACTGTCCATGTGGGTCATTCATTCTTTGCTCGACTGTCGAGCTGTTCAGTCCGTATTTTCGCTCGAGTTCCGATTCGATTTTGTTTCGTTTTGTGCTGTCGCGTTGCACCGTGGAAGTGTCTCGCGTTCTGGCAAGTTAAATTGAACTTGCAAACACGAAACAAATGGTGCGTAAACGTGCCATTGAGTCAGCAGCGGGCCCTTCAAAGAAGGTGCTAATCAAGCCCAGCGCGTCGCAGGATGACGCCGGAAAACGAGTACTGCAAGCCAACCAGTATGCAGTACTCCCGGAAGAAAATGGCGATGGTGACGCCGTTCCCATTGCAAGAAAAGAGCGGATTCCCCCGCTTTTCACGCCGGTGAAGGATGTTGCCAAGCTGGGTGCCGAACTGGCAAAACACAAGCTGCTGCCTCGCTTCAAGC